TAGAGAAAAAGGATCTAGATCCAATCACAACATAGATACAAGGATCTAGATCCAATCAAAAAAGAACACAAGGATCCAGATCCAGAAACAACATAAATACAAAGATCTAGATACAATCACTACATAGGTAAACTTATCGAAATTCAATCATACAATATAGATAAAAAAGATCTAGACCCAATCCCACAGTAGATACAAGGATCTAGATCCAATCACAATATAGATAAAAAAGATCTAGACCCAATGACAACATAGATTCAAGGTTCTAGATCTAATCAAAACCTAGATAAAATGATCTAGATCCAATAACAAATCCAGATACAAGGATCTAAATCAGATCATATAATCTAGATCATGCTGCGGACACAAACTGTATGTAGATATAGAAACACAATCTAGATATGATACTAAAGGGTCAGTGTGTGTTTCATAAAAAAAGAATTGTGTTCTTTTATTCAAACTGTGATCAGAAGTGTCCTGTGTAGTGCTGCAGCGCCACCACACAGCTGTGGCAGTTACTGCAGCTGTGACCGGCCGTGGTTCATCTCAGAGTTGAGACAGACGTGTGTTTTCAGAATGTCAGTGAACGCAGCACAAGGAGTTCATCAATAAAACATCAGCCACAGTTTTATTATTAGAACGAGTGAAACACATGAACCGTGACGAGATGCAACATGACGTGTCTGATTCAACACGCTACTGATGAACTGTGCGTGTGATGAAATTTGCGTGTGTGTGTACGTGTGTGTGTCTTCAAATCAATGAATCAATAAATCATTACAGTGATGGAGTAAAAACCAAAGACTTCATTGATGTAAAAAAAAAATCATTATTACAAAGAGGAGTTGGCAGATGGAGTGATGGAAGTAACTGACTACTTTTACTCAAGTACAATTTTTGTATTTTGTGTCTTTTTATTTTCTGTTTGTTCACAATAAAAATAATGAATAAATGAATAATCTAATTATAAAAAACTGAAAGTTCTCTCTCTCTCTAATTCCCCACTCTGTCACAGTGTCGCTCGTCCAGCTCATCTGTGTGAGTGTGTGTGTGTGATTGTGTGAGTGTGTGTGTTGTTGCTGGAGATGCTGTCAGACTAAAAATAACCTGCTGAGCAAACAGTCTTCCATCATCCCAACAGAGCTGCTGCTTAAAATCACATTGAAAGATCCTGACTCACACTCTCTATACTAATAAAACTATTCATACTATTAATACTTATAACGGTAATAGGTTTATCTATTTGCTACTGTACAGTGACTGAATAAAGAAAGCAGAAGGATTTGCCCCTGAACAGAATCTGAGATGTTTCTTGGTCCGTGTCAATAACAAGGTTTCAATTACATCAGCAGCTTTTCTGTGATTGTCCTGAAAAACACTAGAAATAAAACATGGAGGTGAAACTGAGCCGAGGTCGACGACGACTGGAGGAAAATATTTGACCCCAGGAAGTTTAGATATTTATGATCCCACAGCTTCAACCTGTAATTAATCTTGTATGAGAGAGTTTCCCCTGAGACTCAGTCACACTGTAAATACAGAAGAGGACGACTACAGGACAAACTGCCCTTATATATATTCTTATACGTCTTTATATACAGTCAGTGTCTTTATATACAGTCAGTGATCATCTTTATATACAGTCAGTGATGGTCTTTATATACAGTCAGTGAT